GTCTCAAAATATGATGACAAGTGCCATGCAACATGACCCCTAAACCCCTTACCAGAAGCCAGTGTGTGTCAGTTTAACTCTGTCATAAACAAATGATGGAAATATAATGGAAATGTTGTGTTGGAATAATCCAAGTTCAGATTAATCCTTCCTGATAGCAGTTAGCTTCTTGCTTGTGGAAACCGCAGCTAGTAAATCATTTGTTCCTCTCTCATTAGTTTCCTATCGTATCGTGTTGGTTTGGGGCAGGCGGTGACTTGACTTGAACAAGTAGGACGCCTCCATCTTTCTGAGAAGACAAGTTGTGTTTTTTTTATGCTTGTTGACCTGAAATGACGGCGTTTAAAGACGACGCGGTTTCTAATATTAGGTATGTGTGCTACATTCTCCGCGGTAATTACTTCAAGTAGATCATCAGTGAGAAATAACCAGAAATGATCTGCTCGTGTCGACCCGCCATGCACAAGGCTAGCCGTTAGCCGTTTGCGTCTAGCATTAGCAATAATGGTTGTTGAATTTTAGTACGTCAGCTTCATTGATCGCGTCTACGTTCTTGATTATTGGCTCTTGTTTGGGTCAGTGTGAACCACTAAAATAAAGACAACAGTAAATATTTACGTGTATTTAGAACAGGATTATTTTGCAGCAGCTAGAAGGAAAAACACATGGTGCAGTACGTGGGAGGAAGTCGACTTTTCATGACGCCAGTCTGCCTGGTTTTCTTTTGACCAGGCCTCACAACAACGGTGACACCAGCCTGCCTTCATCTCCACAATCCTGCACTGGAATGTCAGCATCTGAAGGCATCGGCGTACGTGTACCGAAATAATCCAAGACCTTGTTTTGGGTGTTCCACTTGTTTGCTCCTGTGCATCATCATCATCTTTAAGCCCTGAAGGCTGTGACAGCTCAGTGTCAGGAGATAGATATCCTGCACCGCCGAGCTGCACACACCAAGCTCGCTGTGACAGTCTCCTACTGAGCAGCTGAAAGCGCAGCGAAGGCAAACGCTACATACGTGTATATGTGTGTGTGTGTTTGTGTTGGCAGGTGACGCTAGCAAAGGGAAGGCACCAAATAAATCCGACGTGACACCAGTCAGAATACCAAAACAGCCTCTTTGAGGAATGTCGTCTTCTCTCTCTACATATTGCGCTGCATAAAAGCGACTCATTTACTTAACCTCGCTGGGCTGCGGCGCCACTTTAAAGAGATGGATGTTGATGTGAGGAGAAGGAGTCGGGGGGGTGGGGGTGAGGGAGGGGTGAGGGAGGGGCGGGGTTGAAAACATGCCCATCAGTTGTTGATGTTGTTGAAATCAGGGCAGTGGAAGACGCCGGCTCAGAGTCACAGATTGTGATGACCTATTTTGCAGATACGTGCAGAGAGACGTGGTTTTTCTGAACATTATCTTAGCGCCACACAGGGGCCAAGCCCTGCACGAACACTGACCTGCTCGGTAGGTCACATGGTTTCATGTCATGCGGCAAACCTCGACTTTGACAACCGTAGCTGTTGGCAAAATTCTACAAATTTTTGATATTGCGTCTTCAACCATTAGCTTAAAGTTGTTGAAGAATTAGCCTCCAGAGAAGGTCTAACAGATACTAGTGAGATATGCTATGATGCTGATGTAGACGTGGGTTGAAAATGTTGGAATTTTCATTGCGGATGATCAGGATGGAACAGGAAATGATCAGAGGAGCAGCTACATTTCAAAGGTTTGGAGATGAGGAGTCAACACTGGGATGGTTGGACATGTGGACACATGGACACAGTAAAGTGACCCAGTCGGTATCCTTTAAGTTCTGGTGGCAAACCTGAACAAAAAAAGGTTGGTGTTTGGACCTGATAGGACGTCAGGTGTGAATTTAAACCGTGGCCCAACGAGTCGCCGACCTCTGCGTGTCCACAGCTGCTTCTCTGCTGAGGAGTCGAACAAAGAGTGGGCTTAACGTGGATCGATATCTGGATCGATGAGAGTCAGTGTCTCCGTCCTGTTAGAGCGGCAGACTTTTACCTCCTGGCCCTGGTTATTATGGGCTGTTGGTCGGTGAGGTCATGGATCTGGATGGATCAGACCACAGCAGCATGTGCAGAAAAAAATGTATTTTTGTGCTTATCCTGCAGCACGGGTTGACTGAATGGTTGGGAGGTGACAGACGGGGCGGCGGCGGGGGGGGGGGGGGACCTGTGGGGCAATTTGAACCAATTCACGCCACAGTCAGAAAATTACACCGATTGTGACTCATTTCCCCATTTTGGAAAGAATAAGAGACTCAAATATTATTACTATTATTGTTGTTATTATTATTATTATTCATATTATTACTGTAATAATAATAATAATAATGTTGCTATGTTGTTGTTGTTGTTGTTGTTGTTGTTTCCTCCCATTCTGCCTCTAAAACCATGTTGATTAGGAAACAGTTTTATCAGACATTTTCCTGCGTACGATGCTCAGGTTGTGACCCTAACCCTCGACCTTTGACCTCTTGGATCGGCTCCGGCTCCTGTGACCTTGTGAAGGACTGGGCTGTAGAAAGTGGATCAATGTGTAATGAGAACATCAGTTGTTACGGTGTTAAAGATAAGGTTCAGCTGGTGAGGCTTCGATCCGTGGACCGTCACTGGGGGTGAGGGTCTGGACCCCTGGAACCACTGGGAATGTAATGTGTCTATATAAAGGTCTCACAAAGAGCAAACACACACACACACACACACACACACACACATGATGAAGCAGTCATTCCCTGTCAGACGCTGAGGCCCATCCACACCAGTTATTCCCTCACAGTTTATTCCAGGTCGGTCCAGATCATAGTCATTACAGCACAGAAAAAAGCAGTAATTTGACCTTTTCAGTCCAGGGAGAGTGAAGCAGCACTGGTTAAAGGACCATTTCTTACTTTCTTTTTCTTTCTTTTTTTTTCATATTCCTGTTATGTTCATATAAAGATAGTGGAAACGTCCCAGGTTTTTATGGTTCTACCTACTCTTTTTATGAGCACAATAATACATTTGATCATCAAAAAATGTTTTTTCTTAATAGATTAAATCTCAATCACTACAAGAAAATATGTGGAGAGACACAAAAAGAGCAGTAACTGGAGACATAAACTGCAAATCCAGTGTTTGTCGTTAAATTACACCCCTGGGCCTGTTTTCAATTCAACGCTAACTACAAATAATGTGTGTTAATGTGTGTGTGTGTGTGTGTGTGTGTGTGGATGAGAGAGGTTTGAAGTGAGTCTGTGTAAACAGCCCATGAAATGAAGACTTGTGTGGTGCGTTTGTGTGACAGTGTAAACACTGCAGCCTCCTGCGTCTCCGTGCTAACTACCCTTGAAATGAAGACGTCAGACAGAAATATTTCTCTACGTGTGTGTGTGTGTGTGCGTGTGCGTGAGAGTGTGTGTATCTGTGTGTGTTTCAGTGCTGGTTCGGTACCAGACATGTCGCAACAGAATCTGGTTCCAGTGGCACAAACCCTCCTGGTTAATTTTCGGTGCAAAGGTGAAGTGAAGAGACAAATGCAGCTCACAGACAGGCTCCATAGAGTACAGAGCTCCAGTGTGGTGTGACACCGTACACCTCAGAGTGCTGCCTGCCTTATGTTGATTAAAATAACCACCAGGCTGGAGAACAGTACCAGTGAGTACTGGGATCATTTGAACAAGGACTTTATTTTATTTTATTTTTTTTAACATATATTATTCTTTCCACACACACACACACACACACACACACACACACACACACACACACCGATGCTGTTGTCACACTTGCATGTATCTGTGTCTCGTCATCACAGGCTCCGACTGAGCTCTAAATGTCATCTTTCTCTCTTCACTTTATCTCCTCCTCCTCCTCCTCCATCTCTCCATGCTGCAGTGTGTGTGTGTATGTGTGTGTGAACGTGTGTGTGTGTGTGATGCCGACATGTGCCTCAGTGTTTGACGGACGCTCGCCGCTCCTCTTTTGTATGCCGCCTGCTGGCGCTGTGATTTTCTTGTGCTATTTTATAATTCCGTCTCCTCTCTCTTTTTCTCCTCACCCCTCCTTCTCTCCCACTCGTCTTCACCCTCTTCCTCCCTCTCTTCTTCACTTTTATCCAGTCGCTCTTATCTTCTTCTTCTCCCTTTTATTTCTCTAATTCCACCCTCCCCCCTCCTCTCACCCCTCCAGATCCATTTTTATGCCCAGTGCTGCCCCAGCTTGTTATCTCACTCCTTTCTCCCCTCTCTCTCTCCCCCTCCCTCACCCTCTCTCTCTCTCTCTCTCTTCTGTTTGATCTCCACTTCTTAATTTCCTCTCGCTTTATTTTTGTTCTCTTTCTGTGATGGTTTTTTATCCTTTTCCTTGTATTTTGTCATTTCTGATCTTTTTAGTATTTTCCCATTAACTGTATATCGAATTTTTCTTTTAACAATTTTCTTCTTCTTTCTTCGCAGCCTCTCTGGAGTGCACTCCATCTTCACCCTGAAGGACGTTCCTGCAGCAGGACATGGACGTGAACACCCACCCAGTACGTGACCCGCAGACCTCTCCTTGGACCACGCACAGCTCCCTGCACCGTCATTTTCACCACCGTCACTCCAGAAGGATAAAAGAAACACTCGTCCTTGATATAT